CGCCGCGGCGCGGGGCCCCGCCGAGGACCCACCCGGCCGGGCTGCTTTCGAGCCGGGCGTTTTGTGCCCCGGATCCCGAGCGGAGCTGAGACCTGTGGGTGTTGTTGTTGCTGTTAAAATACGCTTTCTCCCTCTGTGTGGGAAACGCACGTCCCTTCAGGGAAAAGCCAGCAATTATTCTGGCTGTATATCGGAGCAAAACAAAAACAAACAAGAAGTTAAAATATGAAAGCTATACTTATCCTCGGGAAGCCATGATTACATTTATCTTCTATAATTTACCAGCCTGCCCTTCCTCTGGCCCCCCGGCCTGTCTCCGAGTTTGGGCAAATGCAAGGGGCAGACAAGTGCGGGGGTGGAGGGGCAGCGCCCAAACAGACGGGAAGGTGAGCTCGTTCATACGATCAAGCGCAATCGGTGGGAGGAAAGGGCCGCGTTTAATCCCCGCGCTCGCGGAGACAGAAAGGCCCCGAATGAAAAAGGACGGGAGCAAATCCGAGGGAAAGGTTGGGGGCGCGGTGCAAAAGCGGCTCAGCAAGGCGCAGGGCCGGTGCGGATCCAGCTGGAGGCCAGGCTGAAAGCGCTGCTTGGCACGGGCCTGGCCCGGGACACGGGACAGCAGCCCGGCTGCTGGGGAGCACGGATCCAGCGAGCTCGGGGCCGTCCTGTGGCCTCCGCCCCCTGCACGACATCGCTTCCCTGTGTGCAAAAAACAATGTTCCTTAAATGCCTTAAAAACCTGCAATGGCGGAGATGAAGGCTAAGAGTGAAAGTACCATTCATTAGGAGATGCTGCTAAGCAACCGCCTGCGAAGTAATGATCATTTCTACTTCTCTCCTTCCAGCCTCTGCCTTTCCCTGGAAAAAAAAACACAGCTTCTCTGTGGGATTCAATATGGGACGGGTGGGATCTCGGAAGCAGACGAGGAAAGTCTTTTTTAAACGCAGTCTCGAGCCTTAAAAATATCCAGACGCTTTCCCATTTTCCAGCACTTGCGGATGGATTTGATGAGGATTTTTCCCCCTTGTTTAAAAAAAAAAAATAGGTATGATTTAGCTAGTTTAAAAGGAGACTTTTTTTTTTTTTTTTTTGGAGACGCCAACAACCACTTCTGAGGGGTTGGATTCGCAGCTAAAAATTAATTAGCACTTTTTAAGGGGAGGAAATGTTTCGCTAATTGCTGTGCTAATCAATTTAAAACAACAACAATTCATCAAGCCAATGGAAAATGGCGTCATACAGGTCTTAAAACGCAAAAAAATAATGACAAGCAGCCTGGATCCTGAACACAGTCTACACTTTATTTCAGACTACAGATTTCTGAACATAATAAAATCTTTGGCTTGTAGCGGCGGGTTCAGTCTCGCAGTCTGTGGATCAGATTTTTTTTTTCCCTCGGAAAAAAAAAAAGACAGAGATTCACACGGAAGAAAAAAAGAAAAGAAAAGAAAAGGTCGAGAGAGTCAGACATTTACTTCAAAGCAAGAGCCAACGACATCAACAAAAAAAGGCAGAGAGAAAACGAACAGAAAGGAAGAGGAGAATCAAACGAACAAAAGGAAGAAAGGGAAAGAAGAGAGAGAAGCTGTCCAGCAAATAGAGATCGCTACACATATTTCTTACCTGAAATTAAATATATACAAGGTCATATGCTGTTTGGCTATATAGAGATAATTTTTGCAAGTGTTCATAATTTTTCCTTTTTAAATTGGAGTCCTTATACTATGGATAGACAATAGATTTGATTTTAAATAGCACCTGTCCAAGTCCCCCTCCGTGTGTCCCTTTGCACTGGTCAGTCCTTTGTGTGTGCGTGCGTGAGTGCGTGTGTGCGTGTCTTTTTTCGTGTCCTTCCCTGGCAATAATAATATTAATAATAATAATAATAATAATAATCGGGGTGGGGCGGGGTGGGCTGGGCTGCCTGACTACTCGCTGTCGTCTTTGTCTTGCACGGTGGTGGTGGAATGGTTGTACAGTCCCTGGGCCATGAGGTGAAGGGCCAAGCCGTTCTTGATGCCCGTGGCTTTCTTGATCTTGGCCCGCTTGTTCTGGAACCAGATCTTGATCTGGGATTCGTTGAGGCTGAGTTCCTGGGCCAGCGTCTGCCGCCGCTGCTCCGTGATGTAGCGATTGGCCTGGAACTCCGCCTTGAGTCTCTGCAGCTGCTCGGCGGTGAAGGCAGTCCGCGGCCGCTTGTCCTCCTTCTCGTTCTTCTTCTTCTTCAGCTTCCTGGTGCGGGGACCTGGGGACAGAAGCCCGGGGAGGCGGAGGGGAGGGGAG